TCATATATATAGTTTACTGGTACTTCAATATATAACTGATCATTCATTCAATCAACTGATTTTATAATATTTTTTCCTACTGATCATATTATCTATTTTACTGATCACTTAAATCCATGCCTTTATTTTTATCATATAATTTTTCTTATTTTTTCTTTATATTCTTGTGCATCAATAAGGGAAAATAATTTACTTTTATCAGTTTGTCCAACAGCAATATTGGATTGGCGTAATTGTCGTAACATTGATTCAATCGTTTTATAACTATATCGAGCATAGGTTTCAAGGGTTTTTGGTAATGGTTTTGTATATAATTGTTCCAGTAAATTTTTTAATGCAGTAAAATATTCAGTAGCATGTGTATCACGTGTCGAAAACATAAAATCAGTTAAATTTTTAGCATTTTCATTATAGAGACGATTATATTCTAGTTCAATAAGTTTTTCCATAGGTTCATGATAATAGAAATGACTTTAACATGGTGCAATAAATTTAAAACCTTTATTAACAATCATTAATTGTTCATTTGATAATGGTATAATTGTATTGACAATGTATAAGGAATGAAACATATTAGGATGATTAGGAGTAAGTAGTTTTGTTTTCCTCCGACATCATCGTTGTCTATCAAACTGCCATATGACGCCGTAGCTTCTTCGAAAAAAGACTATTTTTTCTTTTTTAATGTAATCATCTTTGACTTTTTCCCTTTTTAGCTATTTTATTCCAATATCGTATTGTTTCCTTATCAGCTGCTATACTTAATTCAAGGACATCAAACTTAAATCGATCAATTTATTTCAATCGATGAGTCGATACTATTGTTTGTTGATATTGATCATCAGTATTAGTAGAAGTTTGTTTTGATCGGTTAAGTATTTGATCGATTTTATCAAGTGAATAATCGAAAAGATTGAAGGCTGGTCATAAACAATTTGAATAGATACGATGCTTTAATATTTCAATTTTTTTTATTAGAAATGGCTTTCCATAGGTTACGAATTGAACGAATTTGTTGTTTATGTGGCTTTAAATCGTAAACATTCTGTACCAACTGATGATCCATTGGAATGGATGGAAATAGGCAGAAAGGAAAAATATAGAAAGGAGAAATATAGAAGAAAAATATAGAAAGTGGATGATAGAAAAGAAAAAATATCGAATGGAAAAATGTCGAAGCGGACGTATTGAATGAGGAAAAATGTCGAAAAAAAATATCTAAATGAAACATAATATTCATCAACTTGTGACAAATTTTATTTAGAGAAAGAAAAGAACAATAAATAATATCTAACATATAGTTTAAATGTCATCACATAGAGATTAATAATTGTTTATTTTTTTTTGATTTGCTATTTTTAGCAACTACAAATGATAAGCCTTCCAATAATTCATCGGGTGACACTTCCTTGTTCTCATAACGAGCATATAAATTATCAATACGTTTTTGAATAGCTTGAGTTGTTTTCGTTTGTGGACGAGCTGCAAGACCACCTTTCATTTGAATAAGCAAATGATTAAATCTGTTTTCTTCACCTTGTATACATCTGATGAATGTCCATATGTTTGGATGATATTTACATACTCTTGAATTTAACCGATTGTGATACCCTACAAGTATATGGACAATAAAAATACTTAAATGCTATCTGATATTAAAAACCTTCACAATTGTTATTAGTGCGCATTTGTATCCCATACGCATTCCATCTTTTTATTTCAACTGTTTTGATCCATTGATTCTCGAAATATTTAAATAAAGGTTCAAGTAACTTAAATGTTGTTGATGATGATTCAAGAACCGAATCATAGAGATTATCAAATGCTTCAATAACTAATGAAAGGGGCAATAAAGCCAAAGCCATAAGTTTTCGACAAATTATTCGAATTTGATCATCATCAACATATGCACTTGATAAACCTAATTTTTGAATATTGCGATAAATCGCTTGGTTATGGTGAAAATAACACCCACGATGCTGACTATTAGGAAACTAAGAAAAACAATAACATGATTTCTTTAGATTGGATAAGAATAACACATACTTCACTTTTTAAAACTTCTAGAAGAGATCCTTCAAAATCTGACATGATAGTAGTTGGATTAAACATCATATTCATTTCAGCAGCTTTATCACGTAATCCATTTAATAAAAATTTGTACGTAGTTTTTTTCTGATCAGGTAAAAGAGCGAAAACACAGACAAATGCTAAAAAATATAACAATATAAAAAGATTTAATTGAAAAAATGTTTTATATTTACATTGTTCATATTTTATTGAGTGTATGCAGTAAACTTGACTAAATATTGATGGTGAAGAAGAAAACGTACCATCCATTAACACAACTGAACTATTAAACAACATTTTTAGTTGTTCATTGGAAGCGAATACCAACATTCGCGTTTTACGTTTTACTAATTGATCAATACATAAAAATGATAAACCTTTAATTGTTTTTGTATAACATTCAGGTAAATCAAATAATTGAGTATCAGGAATTGGTGGTGTTTGGAAACGACGTGCTTTGTTTAAGGTGCTACCTAAAGAGTAAATTGTTAGCTGGTAAATAATAAAATTTTTACTGACTCATTTCTCTCTGAGATGGTAAAGCAGCAATTGATAATTGTGAAAGATCTATTCGCAGTGCTTCTTCATCATAAATTTGGGGTATAGGTGTAGTTTCATTTATAGCACGTGTTTTCACTGCTTGTCTAAATGTTCGAATCTGAACTTCTTCAGGTTCGGGTGGATGACAATGATCATCTTTGATTTTCAGCAAATTATCTTCAAGATCAGTATGAACAACAACACTGCAACATGGATCATTACATCGATAATACTTAGTCGAACTTGTTGCTTTATTTAATTTAAATATGAAATTCTCTATAACCAACATTTTTTTATTTTTTTGAGAATAAATGAAGGAGATTTTATTTGAAGAATTCATTATTGTTATCTAAAATAAGCATACATAAAAAGATATCGACGAGCGATAAATAATAAGTATTCATTGCATTCGCCTATATTCATGGTCATCGTTCTAAGAATGAACATATCAGACGAAATCGAACGAACCAGAGATGCATTGTTTAACTATTTCAATTAAGCGACCTCTCATGACTATTGTTTCTTTTCTTTTCGACATTTTTCCTTTCTATGTTTTCCTATTCGATATTTTCTCTTTCGATATTTTTCTTCCTTTTCTTCTATATTTCTCCTTTCTATATTTTTCCTTTCTGTCTAATTCCATCATACCGTAAGGTTTACCATGGTAAACCATCGAATGCAAACTTGGCAAGATTACCATTCCCGGAATGTATGTCTCATTTTGATTTCCAAGTAGTGAGATTAATAGCCCAGATCGAGACCTACAATTCTAGACCAGACCCAGGTCTGTATATTTTACAGCTCATAAGTTATAGGTATTCTTCGTAAAGGTATCTACTCGTCTTCGTATACAGGCAAAAATTCCAAAGAAGCTCGACATATGGATTACCCCGATACCCTGAATATCGAGACATTGTGGGTTGGATGTGTGTGGATATGGGTGTGGGTATGAATGTGGATGTGGGTGTGGAATGTGGGTCCGGGTATGGATCTTCTCTTCATACCCACAGTCACAGCCACACCCACACCCTTTTTCCACCAAGTCAAGTCAACTCAGACTTGATTTGACTTGACTTACCCAGCTCTGCACCCACACCCATATCCGTCTCCACCTTAAGTGTTTGACTGGCACCAGTAGATTTTTGCTGTTATTAAATTTATACATATCGATAATAAAAATCGATTCTAATTATATTTTATCATATTGTGAATCAGAATCATTTGACATACCGATAGAACAAGATCTAACAATTGCATTTAAGCAATGTCTAGATGAAACTAATAGAATTTGAGCATGATAGTATGAATAAATGAATATTAACATTTCAGTATATGAAGTTATTTAAGTCATACTATATCCATATACACATTCTTTCTTCCAGGATATTTAATTCTTGAATAGGACTAACATGAAGCCCGAGCTCTCCAAGATATTTTAGATCTACTGCCTACGTGTGGAGTTTTGAAAAGGACGCAATGGCCCTATGGGAATGGCTATTGACAATTAGAGAATGGCTGATAACAAGGCTGAGTACTATTATCAGAAGGATAACTGTAGTAATATCAGCATTGTTTTTTCACGTAGGTGAAAGATCAAGTGAACACTTTTTGGAAAAACGACGACAAGACGTCTATTGCGCTGGCAATTGCGACCTTCATGATATATTATGCCAAAACCCCAAAGTAGACTGGCCAATATGGCATTTGAAAATTGATAAAAATGATAAAGTTTTGGAGATAGCGGAACACTTTCATAGAAGTTTTGCAAAATTAGAAGAATCTTCGAGCGTAGTTGGTCATATACGCACAATAGAAGAAACATTTTTACATTACATCGGAAAGTACCATAATTGGGATAATATTAAAAAATGTTGCCAAGAAGCTAGGGAAAATGACAATCCAGAGCCGATAATGAAAGCCTACACTCTCGAGCAAACATTTACTGAGTATTTAAATAAGCATTCAGCTGCAAATACATATCATTTTCTCAAGCTTTACTGTACCCTCTTGAACTGTCCGATTCTAGCTTACACGCAAGAGTACACAGAAGCAATTACCAATATTCTGTTTCATCCAAAGTTAGATAAATTCCTAGTTCGAAAGAAAATAGTTTATCGTGGTACAATTCTTGATGAGAAATTCGTAGTCAATTACGAGACAGGTGCCACCATAATAACAACAACATTTATATCTACCACTACAGACGAACGTGTCGCTAAGATGTTTTGTGCTGGTACCCCTAAAGATAAGGTGTCAATATATTGCACATATAATATTAATAATTCTTGTCGTCGTACAGCGCTCAAAATTGGCAAAGGATCCCATTATCCAGATGAGGAAGAAATATTAATCTTACGCTTTATACCATTTAAAATAAGAACCGTTGAGCGAATGGAAGATGGTAGAAAAATGAATATATATTTTGACGAATGTCCAGACGACAGAAGCACAGAAGAACAAAACAATATTTTTATAATAAATGTATGAGTTGAAGAGTGAGACTAAATAAATAAATAATATCAATAATAAATATCAAATAAGAATAGGACTGTGAGGGTACATTGGCGGACCACCACGAAACAATTAGTAGCAGTTGCCACACCTTAAAAAATTGGTAAGAGAGGCGACTCTTATTCGAATATTACGTGGGGTACAATTGCCACACTTTGTCACACCTCGCGGTCACGGGCCAGCCCGCCAGTGTGAGGGTATGAACATGTAAATGAATCGAAAACAGATCGGTCTATCTCTGAATGAGAACACCAATTCAATCTGTTAATCTTAACTCTTGCTTTGCACCAATTGACTGCATTGAAGATTGAATAACAATAGAATCAGA